GCTGCAGCCAGAGGAAGGCATGAGCACTGCAGCCAGAGGAAGGCATGAGCACCGCAGCCAGAGGAAGGCATGAACACTGCAGCCAGAGGAAGGCATGAACGCTGCAGCCAGGCAGTGTCTACTCACAGCAATATATGTTCAAGTGCACAACAAGTGGGCCGAGGGGGCACCAAACTGGTGAGGGGCGGCCAGAGTTAGTGAGACTCACTCATGTAAAAATATTACAGTTGTTTTTTTAGATTTATGTGTCAAGTTTGTGTTTATCTTCTGTCCTAGTTTTAAAAATGCTTGAATTCATAAAATTGATAAATGAAAATAAAACAAACTAACAAACAATCCTAAATAGGACCTCAAAGGGATCAATTTGAAAATGTACAAACTTAAGACTGATGTTAAGTTAAAATGTGATGCTTTTTAATAAAATGTTTGTTTGGTGGAGAATGCAGCAGGTCACGTGACCACAGGTGAGTCCAGGGTCACCTGTGGGTTCTGGGTCAGGTGCTGTCGGGCTACAGAGGAACCCACATGGACTCTGCCCGGTGTGACAGGCCCACACGGTACCTGTGTCTTCATCTGTTTGTGATGTTAGTGTTTTGTGTGGACGCTTTAATGTTGGTGCACGCTGGCGTATTGGGACCCGTCTAATGACTGGAACTAGCTTGAAAGACTTGAGTCCGTCTAGTTAGAGACGCTCTTCTTGGGAAATTTCGTGTATTTAAAATGCTGTGCATGACCTTTGTCGTAGTTTTGGCGGTGTCTGCTGGCTGAGAGGACCTAAACGTTAAGAAGGCGTCTGTATGGCGCTCGGCCTCCATGTCGTCGGACCGAGTAGCTGCAGTGACCTGGTTGGACCTGGTTGGATCTGGTTGGACCTGGTTGGACCTGATTGGACCTGGTTGGACCTGGTTGGACCTGTGGAGGTCAGTGAGGCACAGAGGCTGAAGGCTGCTCTGAGATCTGGTCTCCAACAGGACAGCAGGACGTCTCAGGAGTTAAGAAGGACAGGAGGAAGACAACTGAGGACAAAGCTGATGATTTAATTCATCAATGAGTCTGAGGGAAATTATTCTGGAAAACTGTCGACAGAATAACCGAGGAGGAGGGAACATGAGTCCAAACCTGAAGAGTGGCTGAGTTAAAGTGATATAGTGTTAAAATAGAAAAAGGCTGAAGTGGAGAGAAATGAAAATGTATTTAAGTAAATACTGACAACATCATGTGGAGCATAACGTTAGAATGAAGTGAAAAGGTTGTTTCTGCTGCCAGTCACTGGTTAGTGATGATTAAAAACAATCTGATTAAATGTAGTTTGTTGGTTGAACATCGTGTTGACAGACGGTGTCATCACTCAGAAACCACTGCTGCACTCCTGCTAATGTACAGCAGTCAGACTGATGCCCCTGAACACATCACTCCTTCTCATGTACAGCAGTCAGACTGATGCCCCTGAACACATCATCGGGGATGTTTCTGTCAGCGTCACACCCAGTCAGGCCCGGGCTGTGTCCAGGTGGCGCCACCTACAGGTATTTATTACGCAACATGGTGAAATATGTACAATTAATAAAATTGTACATATATTTTTTAAAAGTTAACTGCTCTTGGGGGCCCCCTGCTGGTGACCGGGGCCCTTAGCAGGCGCTCAGGTCGCTGATGCCTCGGGCCGGTACCGGCTCTGCTTAAACCAGTTTCTCATCATATGGTCACATGTGCTGCCCTGCATCATGGCACATGGAAACAATGACTCATCAGCTACTGTCATGATTTCTGTTTGCTTCTGAAATAAGGAAGAAGAAGCAGCTGTTGTGTGTTAAAGCTCCGGCTCTGAGCTGCTCTGAGCTGCTCCTGTTCTAGACGCGCTGTCCGTCCTGCTCTGCTGCCATCAGGACGGGACATACCATCAGCGTTAGTCAGCCCATTGTTATGTGATTGTCTTCTGTCTTATTGTCTCGTTGAACTTGAGCCTGTTTTTATTTGCACAGGCTCTTTCAGAGATGACTGTTTGTGTGAAGAACTAATCTGTGCCACGTGATCCATGAACATGTCTGACTGTGATGGACGGACTGTGTGATGATTGTTCTTGGACACGTCCAAGCCCATGATGCTCTCAGTCAAACCCAAGAATTTACGAGCAATTGATTGCCAATTAAATTGATTAAAATCCTCCACCTCAGCTCTTAGTTTGGATCCATTCTACCTCAAGGGCTCAACCTACTGTTCTCAAGCGGTACTGCAGCCTGAAGGCAGAACTACAGCAAACAACAGGAACGGCGTTAAAACAGATAAAAATAAATACAATAAAAGAGAATCAGTTTGAATGAATGCTACTATAAAATATATTAAAACTGTAAAGTATTCCTCTTATCCAATATGTAAATAGAAGCTCGTTGTTGTCAAATGTGTACGCGCACGGTCACGTGGTTAAAGTATCACCGTCTTGCGTCATGACGTAACCTGAAACAAACGAATTCAACCCGGAAGTGAGAGGTCCCGGTCTGAAGATGGTGTAGTGCGAGACAAACTCCAACAAATGAGCGATAGATGTTATAAGTGAGACCAGAACCAACGCGATAAGATGAGATATATGTTGTTTGAATGTTCGGATAGTTCTAGTCATTAATAACGAGCCTGAGTATGGACCTGAGCGGAACCGGAGGCTCCTACACGGTGAGACGCTCCGCTTCCCTACCACCGGCTGTCACCGCTTTGGTTTTACTTTTTAATTCAGCAGCAGCTGTTAAAACACGGTTTCTGTTAAGATTCAGATTTTAAAGCATTTTAATGACACATGTAGGACTGAAGGGAGACAAACAGTCATTTATTATCAGGATCCTGGTGGAAATACATTCATGAAGTGATGTTGTTTCTATAAAAAGCTGAATCTGAATTGTAGATTGTTCTGTTCTATGTGAATTAAATAAATGTGCTCTTTGTTTTCCAGGACAACCTCATCGGGACTTTACTTGCTATTTTTGGAAATCTGCTTGTGAGCATCTCCTTAAGCATTCAGGTACTGAACTCATTTTACTCCATCATGTGTTTGGTTTGATGTCTGCTGCCCAAAAAATACTACATATGAACAAATACAGGAGTTGTAAGGAGAATAAGTCAGTGTGGGAATGCTTCAGAATGACTCCACTGGTTTAGTGATGGGGTGGATCTGTACTGGATGTAAAGAATAATTAAAACCAGTGAGAACAGGCTGCTTGTGACTCCTGTTGGTGTAACTCTGGCATCAGACTCAGTTTAGTTGTTTTTGGTCGGTATGTAGATCTGACTTTGAGCTGCTGATTTCTATGCTGTCGTCTTTCCTCTTGTGGTGAAACAGCGTCTGGACCCTGCTGACAGAGAACCAGTTTCTGGTCAAAATGTTTCCGTACAGTTATTTTGCAACCATTTCTCGCCTTTCCGTGGTTCTCTCCTGTCCTTTGCTCGTGTTGCTGTGAACACATGGAGGGTCAACAAACTGTTTTGTGACTGAAGTAAAAAAAAAAAAAGAAAAAAAGATGGCGTGTCTAAAAATCTGAGTGTGTCGTGCAACGACAAAAAGCTGTCGTGGGATGTGTTTGAGTTGATTTCCATGACTTCACATCGCTCGTTCTGCCACATGACTGTTGTGCGTGGACACATCATTCAGACACACATACGGCCTGATGTTAGTTAGATCCTGAACGTGAGCTGTGACGTCTCCTAGACTGAGGAGTTACGTCTCTTATGTCTCTGTGACGGTTCATGGGCTCTGGTTTTTCTGCATTGTTCCATTTATGTTCTTTTCAGGATGTTGTTTTATTCATTAAAGGGTTATTAATCAATCAATCAATCAATCAATCAATCAATCAATCAATCAACTTTTATTTGTATAGACCTTTATAATAACCAAACGGTACCCACAGTGCTTTACAACAAAGCCGTCAAAGCAGAACATACAAGCAAATACATAAAACACAGGAAAGATTATTAATATTATTATTATTAATAAGATGGAAAAAAGCTCCTTAAGTCCATTCAGAAGTTGTGTTTGCATCACTGACTGTACATGTGGAGTTTGCTAAAGTTGAACTCAACGTGAACGACATAAAAAACGTCTTTTTGATGAATCTGATGAATCCACAGCCGTTGATTTCTTCTTGTTTCTGAACTGACGGTTTCCAATCTGCTGCTTTAGTTTCTTTTTGGTCTTTTATTTTTCCTCTTTAGTTTGTGTTTAACAGGATCTGGTGGGTTTCCTAGCTGGCTTACAGATGTTTATATATATATTTTACATTACTCTTGTCAGGAGGGTTCTGCTGTTACTGTTATCAGCCTTAAGCAGAATCTAGGATGTGAATGAAGTAATACTCAGTTATAGACTCAGGATACGTCGCTGCCACTGTGCTGCTCTCTTTACTTTCTACTTTAACGTATTTCTTTAGCTTTTCATGCTGTGTGGTTTCCATTACATGTTTGCTTTTAGCTTTGTGTGCTGCAGCATGTTTCCTGTTTGCTTCCAGTCACAGCTCTTTAACCAGCATGCTTTTCACTCACAGAAATACAGTCATGTGACGTTAGCGGGGACAAAGGACCAGCGTGCCTTCTACCGCACTAAAACCTGGTGGTCTGGTTTCGTGTTCACCTGCCTCGGGGAGGCAGCCAACTTTGTCTCCTACGCTTTTGCCCCTCTGGCTCTTGTAGCGCCGCTCAATGCGGTGTCTGTCCTGAGTGAGTATTTCCTCCGTGTTCCCTGATGTGTGCTCAGTGATGAAGCATTCAGGATAATACCCAGTATGTTGTAAATGTGTAGTTCAGACACAGAACACATTCAGAGGAACGTCTGTGGTGACCTCTGGCATTGTGCTTTTTAAAATGTCTTTCAGCGAGCTCGATCTTGGGCTTTATTTTCCTGCGTGAGAAGTCTAAACCAAAGGAATTTGCAAGTAAGTTCACAGGAGGTGTGTGACTGAAGATGTGTAGCTGCGCTGACACTCATGCAAATACCACAGAACTTGTGCCATTATATGCAAATGACTTCCTCTCATTCATTCCTCCTAATTGGCTGCTCTGCTGACTGAAGCGACACAAAGACTTTGTCCAGGACAGGAGACGCTTATTTAATAATCACTGATAGCTCCTAATTAGCTGTTTGTCATTTCAGAGAACTACGGGCTGACCTTCCTGGGCTACATCCTCACCATAGGAGGAACTTATCTCTTTGTGTCATTTGGACCAAACACTCATGAAAAGCTCCAGGCGGAGAACATTGTGAAGCACCTGGTGGGATGGCCTGTGCTCTTGTATCTGGTGAGCTACTTTCATTTACTGAGAAAGCTCAGCAGCAAAAGGTCCAGCAAACATTCCTCTCTCGTCCATAAATCTCCCCGCAGCTATAAAACAATTGATTCGGGCGAAGCAGCCAAATCTGAATGTGACGCTGCCAAGCAGCATATTTAATAAAGATTTATCGTATATCCTGAACGAAAACAAACTCACAAATCCCCTCTGACAGTCCTAGTGTAGCTTGAAATATGCCCTTCCTCCTGTGGGACTACAAGATGTAATGTTCACACACCTCCTACATCATCATTCATGTTCTGCAAACACACCGCTGAGAGCGGCACCGTGGCCCTGCAGGACCGGGTCGGTGACTCATGTTCTGTCAGGAGCGTTAAATCAACTCGCCGATCATTTTTGAATTTGTAGGTCATAAAGTTGGTAAGAAAACGGCGTGTGGTTGAAGCTGAGTCCTGGAAAAGGTCTAAATATGAAGAACGTGATCCTCTGACACCTCCAGTCATCACTGCAGGCCGCTCCAAAGTCTTCTGTTTCTTTTTTATGATCTGGTCCTACCTTAAGCCACAAACGATGTTCTGCAGACTTTGGTAAACCCCTTCCAGCCTCCCTGAGCCGTCTGCAGGACACACATCAGTTTCTGGCTTTAGGATTAGCCGTCCTGTGCTTCTTGTGTTGTTTCTGTGCAGTTCATTTGGTGTTTATTTCCTCCTAACTGACAGCTCCTGGAGATCATCACGTTCTGCCTGCTTTTGTACTTCTACAAACAGCGCGGCGCTAACTACCTCGTTATAATTCTGATGCTGGTCGCTTTGCTGGGTGAGTCCTCTGCATTACAACCCGTCCATCTCACCAGAACTTTAAGCTATTGCCGTGCTTTATTAGGACACGTAACCACGTCTGGAGCGGTCACAGAGAGCTCCGGGGCTTTTGTGAAATGACGTCTAATTGCTTGTTTGTTCTTTGGCACGCAGGCTCGGTCACCGTCATCACGGTGAAGGCGGTGTCAGGAATGTTGGTTCTTAGCGTCGAGGGCAACATGCAGCTCGACTACCCCATCTTCAGCGTCATGTTGGTGTGCATGGTGGCGTCGGTGGTCTTCCAGGCCAGGTGAGACGCCGTCACAAAGGGATTCTTGTCAGTTAACGGCTGCGTTTGTGGGTTTTCTGCAGCAGACTTTAATTCTGATGACCCTTTATCTCCCAGTAAGCTGTTGCTCACTGTTGTGGGTGTTGCTGTCTTCCTAGATTCCTCTCCCAGGCGTGTAAGCTGCACGACTCCTCCCTGATCGCCAGCGTCAACTACATCCTCTCCACCTTCTTCGCCGTGGTAGCTGGTGAGTCGTGGCTTTCTTTGGTTATCAGGCTACGTTCAAACATTTACGTTTTAAACACACAACTTCTGGTATTTTTATTCGTCGCAGCTATAAGACTGGAGAGTTTTAGGACTCTGACAAACGGAGACTTTTTGAAGTGAGAACTCCGGTTCGTGTTGTAACGGGATTGGGCAGACACAGTGGTGCAGACACTCAGTTCTGCTTTCTGATTGGGCCTCGCTGTCGCTGCATCCATCCCCTGATTCGTCACGTTCCAGAAGACACATGCCTGGATTACCAGATGTTATTTCATAGAATACTTACTCTGTTGTCTGTGCAAGCGGCTGTTGAGCAGTGAAGGAGGTCCTGCTTTTCTTCCTCCTCAGCAATTTACCAACTAATTAAGGAACCAACCCCCTGTTTTGTGTTTACACTGGCACCAGCACGCCCAGTGAGCCTGAGCGGTCATGTGATGTGGCTTTTCAGGCGTGTCAGTGTACGCTGAGGTTGTTTCTGAAATGTAGTCCGGATGAGTCCTCAGTCACACCTGGATTAATGAGTGTGTGCAGCTCTTTACCTCAGCAGTGCCTGACCTCACACACACCCAGAGTCTAGAAGCAGCAGCCGTCACAGAGTTATTGTTTCTGGTTTTCAGGAGCCGTGTTTTACTTGGAGTTCAACAACGAAGACGTGCTTCACATCTGCATGTTCGTGTTGGGGTGAGTACTGATCCGTTATGTCACAGGTGAGTCATAGTATGAAAAGCACAAGTAGAAGTAATGACATCAGGAGGCTTCTTCACTGCACGGTGGATCAGTGGTTAGCACCGTGGCCTCACAGCCAGAAGGTCGTTGGTTCACGTCCCGGTGAGGACACCCGGGATCTTCCTGCGTGGAGTCTCCATGTTCTCCCCGTGCAGCGTGGGTTCTCTCCGGGTTCTCCGGCTTCCTCCCACAGTCCAGAAACATGTTGAGGTTAATTGGTGATTGTAAATTGTCCGTAGGTGTGAATGTGAGTGTGCTTGGTTGTCTGTCTCTAAGTGTAGCCCTGTGATAGACTGGTTACCTGTCCAGGTGAACCTGCCTTCACCCTGAATCAGCTGGGATAGGCTCCGCCCCCCATGACCCTAGTAATGGATGGATGGATGTCTTGATGCTGCCTGTGGGTTTACTGACACATGAATACAACAGATCTTTGTTAATCTGTGCTTCTCCTACTGTGACTATTAAAACTGTGAAAAGCAGTTTTGTTTAAAAACCAAACCCTGTCCCTGATGATGGTGTGCTTTGTACAGAACTGTATTCTGCTTCCTCGGCGTCTTTCTCATCACCAAGAGCAGGAAACGGACCAAGACCTTTGAGCCCTACGTCACCATGGACATGACCAACGGTTTGTAGAAACTTTAGTCTATTGGGATTTAAAGCGACGCAGAACTTGTTCTTTTACATCTTTTACGTTATCAAAATATAATAATAATATAAATATAAGAGCCATTAAATGCAGAGTCACCACATCTCATCATGAAGTTGTCTGAAACACCTCCACCTGTCCGTTCTCTCATCAGGAGTCCCCATCATTCATGACAAGGGCCTGGTTGTTCAGCCAGACTTCAACGGCTCTTTCTCCTACGGTGCTCTTGTCAACAACGATGGAGCGGCTCCTGCTGCTCTACCAGTCAGCCTGGAGCAGACGCCGGGCGGCTCTGAAGCGTCCCGGGACCAGCCTGACCTGAAGAAAGATCTAAAGAAAGATTGAAAGAGCCCCGTCTGTACTCTGTTCAGCTACAGACAGCATTCAAGGACCTTGAAAGGCCGAGATGGGATCTTGTGCTCTGTTCTCAGAAAACACCGACTGACCTCCTGACCGCTGGGTGGTTTGATGTTCTCCTACCACCTGGTATTCCTCTGCTCATGCTCTCCTCTTTGAAATCTCTGAACCAAAGCTCTAATAATTCCAGGAACAAACGGACGGAGCTCGAGGCTGTCGACTGTTATTGTGGATTCACAAATGTGGCTTCAGAAGTGTTGAAAGCAGAGACGGTGCTGCAGCTTGAAGCTTCCTGCCTTATACATCCGCCAGCTCTGACCTCCACAAACACTCAGCAACTTCTCCTCCATTCACTCAGAAATGGGACTATAGCGCTATCTGTTCTTCCACTGAGGATGTGTGCTGAAGCTGCTCCTCAGATCAGGGTTGTTATGAACCAATGGAGCTCCAGAGGTTCTCGCCAAGGAACTCGTTGACTTCAAACATCTGCCTCTGAACAGTTCTCACTCAGTTCTCTCCCTCTGGTTCTGGGCTTTCATTCAACGACTACCTGTTTTTAATTTATTGTACCATATTTATTGTTGTTCTCTTGTAATCTGATTTTAGCGTGCCTTGTGTGGCCGTCACACCGGACAGGTGACCGTCAGGCATCACACGAGCAGGGCAGTGACGAGCTCCTGCAGCAGGTCAGGTATTAAAGCTCTGTGCCCGTCTGCATAAAACTAAAACTACGAATCATGTTTAAAGGGATGATACCATAGAGCAAAACAAATAGAAGGGAAATGAGCAAGCAGGATGTTTAAATCACCGACGGGCTGCACTGGTTTCATGTAAAGCTGTTTTACATTCTGCTTTGTGCTTTTTGGCTTCAAGAAGTTCAATGTTTTTCATTTAGATTTCACTTTAACTTGATGCCATGAGGTCTCTGACGGCAAACTAATGAACGTATGTAGATAATTTTCCTCGGTTTAACAGGTTTCTTTCTCGTACAGTATATTTCCAATGTCATCATTTTGTCCTTGTACAAGCTAAACATAACGAATCGCTGCGTGAATGGTTCCTTCAGACACTCGCCTCCTCCACCAGCAGCGCTGCGTCTCGTCAGTGTTAACGGAGCAGAGCTATGCAGAGACTCCAGCGTTCGCTGTGTGGTTGGTTCTGGTGACGTGGCTGATTACCGACATGTCTGTAAGCTGTCAGCATCTCTGTATATAGCGGCTGGAACCAGTCGGGTCCATTCTGCCTTCCATTAAAACCAGGACACCTTTTGTAAACGCGGGACTCTGCTGCTGCAGAAGACTCGTTTTCATTGTAAATTATGTGTAATCTTGTGTCATAACTTCATAAAGTGATGCCGTTCTGGTGGAGTCCTGCCTCCTGAGCTTTCTGATTAATTCTGTTTGCTCTCTAGTTTATTTAAACTTGCACTGATGCCCCTCTTCAGACCGGGTCGGGCCTTTCTGTGCCTCTGGTGAATGATAAAGATGGGTCCCTTCTGCTTCACACGCTGCTCACAGCTCCTCATTAAATGTGGGATATGTGACTTTGTTCTGGGGCTGCAGGTGGTTCAGTGGTTAGCACCGTGGCCTCACAGCTAGAAGGTCGCCGGTTGGCGTCCCGGTGAGGACACCCGGGATCTTTCTGCGTGGAGTCTCCATGTTCTCCCCGTGCAGCGTGGGTTCTCTCTGGGTTCTCCGGCTTCCTCCCACAGTCCAGAAACATGCTGAGGTTAATTGGTGATTGTAAATTGTCCGTAGGTGTGAATGTGAGTGTGCTTGGTTGTCTGTCTCTAAGTGTAGCCCTGTGATAGACTGGTTACCTGTCCAGGTGAACCTGCCTTCACCCTGAGTCAGCTGGGATAGGCTCCGCCCCCCATGACCCTGGTGAGGATGAAGGTGTAGAGATGATGGATGGATGTTGTAATCAGGTGTGTAGTTTGGTGCATGAGAAATACTTCCTGCTTGTTGTTCATGTTTTAGGATTTTTTGGATTTTCTGCGTTTTTCATGTGTAAACTTGTAGAATCTGGATTTAAAGGTAAGTTTGTGTTCTAGGTAACACTTCAGAGTCTTAATGTGTAAATTAATTCAGTACATTTCTACATATATATAAAACTGCTGTCTTCATATTCAAATTAGTCTGATGAATGTGTTTTATACTGACAACACTACAGGGTTTATGCTTAATAGTTAAACTAGTCAAGTGAAGTCGTATTTAATATAACGTTGTGGTGCCTTAACCTTAATATTTAAATCAATCAGGTGTGTTTTTATTATAGCTCAGTCCAGTATATGTGTAGCATTTAGCTTTGGAGGGTCTGAACCTCTGAGTCAGGTAAAGTTGTATTATACATATATATTTATAATATTGTAGAATCTTAACCTTAATAGTTAGATTAGTGAAGTTGTATTATCTATAACATTACAGGTGTTTGGTTCTGTCCAGCTCATCTGTATTATTTATGACACTGTGGGTCTTAACCTCCGTGTTTAAACGGTCACATTTGGTTTGATGCATCACATCTTTGGGCCTTTTGGAACTTGTTTGGTAAATGTGTGAAATTAATCTTATTTAGACTTAGACTGACTTTACTGATCCCAGAGTTCAGGTGTGACAGCAGCAATATTCAATAAAGGGCTCCACAAAGCAAAGAGACACACAGAATGGAAGGTAGGCTGTAAAGTGAAGGTTAAATAAAATGAGATGAAAATATAGAAAGTATAATATAGAAAAAATCAACCAGTATACAAACATAAATGGAGCGGTACGTTTCTGTGGCGGGAGACACTGAAGCTCCTCCCACATGTGCCATAAACACACCTGACGTCACTCTGCTTGCTTTAAGTCTTAAACACTGGAGTTAAATGTGAATTTGTTGAAAACACCAAAGTTCAGCTCCTTCATCTTCAGCGTGCAACAGGTGGATCCAGAACTCTGGTCCGTCCAGAACACGACACACCTGCACATCTGATCATCTGCTGCCCAGCAGGTGATCCACAGGACTCGTCGCTCACCCGGACCGGTCCGTGTCTCCGGGCCCGTGCTTGTGGACCCACAGCCCGGCTCTCCGCTCCCTCTGCGCCGCTTGATCGCCACCAATCTTGACGGGGAGCGTCCTCCCCCTCCTGCGTCCTGATTGGTCGGTGCGAGCCAGCGCCGCCACCTGATTGGTCTCACCTGACGCTGGATTAGGCTGCATCAGATTGTAATCCAGTGATAACAAACAGCCCCGCGTTTCACAGCAGCCTCCAAAACACCACAGCATCCTCCACCTGGTCCGCTCAGCAGCTCACCTGGAGACGGTCGCTGTCATGTCCGGTCTGGGCCTCCGGTACCGGCACCAGTGAGGTGAGTACCGGCAGGAGAGGCTGAAGCACCAACTCCATCCGTGCGTGAGCCACCGCGGCTCTGGAGCAACTTCAGGTCACATCTCAGCTTCAGTACAGCTTAGAAACAACACTTCGTGTCTCTACCAGACACTCAGGTGATGTCAGACGCTCGTGGCGCAATTTCGCGCGAGCTTTACGTAACGTCCAGGTGTTTCCTCCTGTGGCTGCACGCGACCCTCTCCGGCCAGCAGACAGCGGACATGTCCACGCGGTGCTGACGTCACCTCCCGTCCTGTGTGTCTGCAGCTTTCTGCTGCATGAAGGCAGCTTTCCTCCTCATTCTCGTCCTGAGCGGCTCATGGGCTGATGTTTGGTGTTGATGATGAAGCGGTAGTGTGGCTGTGTGCACCACTAGATGGCGCTATGTCCTCAGCAGACACCTGGCAGTGATGGCGCTGATCTGAGTTCAGGTCAGACTTCATCCAGCCCTGTTCTTGAACAGATGTTACTGCTTTATTTTTCTGTTCCTGTGTGTCATAGACAGGTGATGATAACATGTATTTATC